GCTGTTATAATTAGCCGACAAGTATAATGCTTTTTCATCTTCATTTTAAGATTTATTCACATTTATAATTTATTATTTGTTATATCAGCGCCATTGTAGCATTAGTATTAAGTGTCCCCCTTATCCACATTAGTGTATATAAGATTTTATGCTTCATGTATAATACATTAAATTGTAATATGTTTAAAAATTCATTCTACATTCATTCATACAGTCCACTCACCTTATTCCCTTTTCTCAACATAGCCTTTTTTTTTTAACAGGACATTTTAGGGTGCCACCCTGGACTGCTGTTAGGCATTACTTCAGGGTGGCCCACGCCATCTCTATAATTCACAACGTGGTGTAGCCCCCTCCCACATTAGCCGGATCCCAAAGTGGAAACCGTTTAGGAGGGTTGGCAAAATAACTCACAAACAAATAAAACATTTAGAACAAATTCCTAAGGCACCGGCCTAAACCAGCGAGTACCACCGGGCGCTGCGTTCATTCAATAAGTATAAATTCATTTTCGAAAAAATATTCAGAATTACAGATATTAAATAACTTCATTTGTAATATAACTTCCAATTTTAATTGATATATTCAAAATCTTATAAATTGTTAGTTAAAAATCTTGAAAATGGGTAAATGAATAATAATAATGAGAAGTATTTAAATAGAGATAAATGAAAATGTCATTTGGTATTATACATTAATCTGTAAAATATTTTTAATTTTTTTAATGTATTTTCCTTGAAACCGGTCTTTAGACATTTTTGATATTAAAACTGAATTTGAAAACGTAAAGTTGTTATGAAAATTTATATAGCATTTTAGAGTTTACAAATAAAAATTATATTTTTTTAAATCTCATAAAATAAATTATACGATTTTTAATAAGAGGAAGTTATTTTATATCGATAAATATAAAATATCTAAGAATCAAATAATATTAAATTATCATAAAAATATTATACTTTGTGAAATAATTAGTAATGGTTAATTTTATTTTTTAATTTTAACTGTATTCGAAAAAAATGCTTACTAAGTTCGCAATTAATGGAATTTTCACCAACCCCCCACAAATTTTTATTTTTTAAAGCACGGAGTATTTCCGGAACATTCCCAAAAGTTAAGTTAAGTATTTTTAAAGTTTTTAACCCTCCCCCAGTATAGAGGAGAATGGCCCGATTAAAAAAAAAATTAGTATCAAAGCAACTTGAAAAATAAAAAACAACCAAAGCCATTCTAAAACAAAAAATATGGGGGAGTAAAAAACATTTTTTTACTCAATAATTTTTTTAATTATGTAAACTGCTTTTATGATTTTTTTGATAGCAGCAACTCTATAAATCAAAAGTTAGTTGATATTAAAAACAACTAAAAATAAATTTAAACTCCAAGAATGGAGATTCCGATATAAGATAAAGAACTGTGATCAATATTTATATATTTTTCTGTATAATTAACACAGTTAAAATACCTAATGATAGATGGAGTTAGTGAAATAAATCTATAATAAATTAACCAGAAGTTAATTGAGGTGACGTCAAACAACACATATTAGTTGTCATACGTAACCAGTTTGTTATACTTGTATAATTGCTACTCTATTTTTAAATTTTGTTTGATTTAGTAAAAGTAAACAACTTGTACATAACAACATTCAGCTTAAATAAATTTATTTAATCATTTTTTACACATCCTTCGATAGCTCAGTTGGTAGAGCGGTGGACTGTAGCGGCATTTACATCACAGTAATCCATAGGTCACTGGTTCAAATCCGGTTCGAAGGAAAAATTTTTGCTGATTAACAAAATAAACCATTAATTAGTTACAAGAATGTATTGACAATTTTGGAGGTCATAAATGTACATTAAAAAATGAATAACATGAAGAATCAATTATAGTTCTCGATTTTTTTTTATTGAAAACTAAATTGTTATTAAAATATCAATAATATTTTTTAAAAAAGTCACTATTTATATTTAACAAAAAAAAATGCTTAGAATAATCGCTGTAAAATAATATTTTAAATTAAAAATATTATAATCTAATGACGCCGTAAATAACAAGAAACTTTAAATTCGTGTAATAAGTATTTGAAAAACTTTTGAGTGTTATTTCATTTTTAAATTAAAGTATTATTTTTCGCCGTGAATTTAATTATTGCATTGTAATGAAATATTTTTACTACACCATTTCAATTATAATTCTGGGTCGCTGGACTCGCTTTACTTGTTTTAATTTGTTCGCAAGAGCTAGTGCTGTACAATGAAGCAAAGACACAAAACATTTCAAAATAAATATTTATTTTTTTATAAAATAGGTTTGTAAAACCCTTAGAGGTTTTGTGAACTTGTTACAATAAAACACAAATGATTTTATGAAATCAAAAAAATTAAGTTTTTTCTAACGTTAGAGATACATTTCGAGTGTAAATGAAAAATTCTAAGTAAAATAAAAAAAATTTGTAGTTACATTTTATATTTATGAATTTTTTAAGCTTTAAACAAAGTATTTTAGTGATTCAATAATAAAACGGAAAAATAAAAACTGTCTAAGCAATATAAGTAATTTTAGTTATAATAATCAACTAAAAAATTAAATACTTATAGTTAAAACCTTTATATGTTACTCATGAGCCCTAATATATGCTTTACCTCCAATGTCTACCTATAGCTCAAATTCGTAAAAAAAATGATACTATGTTAAATTTATGATCCGTTTTTATGAAATTTTATCTTACAAACAAATTATTTTAGAAATATGAGAATTTAATGTACAAATATTTGTAGAACACAAGATTCACACAGACTTACGAATATTAATTTTTATTTAATAAATATAAAGATATGAGTTTATAAAATTTGATTTTTAATATTTTTTATTTTAAAAGTTATTATTGATCAGAATTTTTTTTAATAGTTATGTATTTTACTTTTTGGTATATATCTGAAATAACTATTATGATATTTAAAAGATTTTGTACCTTTTATTTTAGTGGTCAAGAAATGTATAAAAACTGTAGAAGCATTATAAGTCTTTTTGTTGTAATTGTATTGTTCGTTGTTTATTTTTGTATATAAACATTAATGTACTATCTAAAAAAAGTAGTTTATTATCATTTGTATTTTTCTTTCAGATTCTTTTTTACGTAATAATGCTTGCTAGTAATTTCAAAGCACAATTTCTTCAATTAATACTTCTATTATAATCGAGTAATACCACTCATATGAAATGTATGTAAATTAAGCCTTTATTTGATAAGAAAAGCAAATAATAACAAATCAACACTTTTTTTAATTATGTAGAAAAAGTTTTGAACAGTTACTTTGAACAAATCATTTTTTATCATTAATACCAACTATTTGTTTTTGTATCTTAGCTTATTATTCTTATCAAATTATTTTTATAGCTAACCCAATAAAAAATAAAAAATTGAAAAGATTTTGTTTTTAAACTAAAATTAAATTTGTCTTTCTGTTTAAACTATTTACTATTATATGGGTAATATTATTTCAAAAACATTTTGTTTTTAAACTTTTAATTGATTAATCGAATATATTATATTTAAACTATTTGAGTTATTAATATTATTATGTTTCTTAGAAAAATCAAAACAAACTTACATTTGGGAATACGAAGATTGGACGGAGGAGGGGAAGGTAGTTACATGCTTGAGAAAACCTCGACGCCCGGTATCGTTAATGGACCAATGAGGGCAACGCGGGGGCGGGTGGTGATCCTTAAAAGGGGGTTGGGAGACCCCCCGACGATACCCTTACGTTTGGCGCGCATTCGCAAGTATCGGAAGCACGTGGTTTTCGCGAGCCGGCTTTTAACGTTAGTACTTGTCTCGGAATCGTGTCCTTCACAACTACGTTAATCTTGTACCCTGTTGATAAGTCGGTCGTATCGCATCGTCTCGCCAAATTGTTTAAAAGCAATTCCGAATATATATTAAATTGTTTTTGATTATTTTTTACATATATACACACACGATACACCCTTAGGTGAGTAACGAAATTTTATAATAATATAATATAGTGACATAATTATATCACTATTCAAACAACCAGTTAAAATATAAGAAACATTTTTTTAAACATACAAATTTAATGGTTTTTTACAATTTAAAATATTTGTTGAAAATTGTTTTTCAGAATGATTAATGAAACCTATGTTCTTACTAACACAATTAAAAATGTGATTAGTAAGATTAGTATATTTAATCTTATGGTGAATATAAATATTTAATTGATTGGATTTGACCGTTTTACTTTATATCAATAAGTACTCATCTAATATTAACTTATTAAATATAAGTTTGTACTTCATACTAGTTGAAAAATTATTATTAGTTGTTATAAATAAACAGTATTATTTTAATATTATTAATAAAAAAAATATATTTTTTTATTATTTTAAAATTTAATTCTGGTTGGATTATTGTTTAATTGGAGTAATTATAAAACTAAAAAGTTTTTCTTTTACAGTTTTTTTTTAAATATAACAAAGAATAAACAACTTAAAATGTTTTAATTAAAAAATATAAATTTAAAGTAAAATAAGTAGTTTTTTTTATAACTTTCAAGAATTTTAAACAACAGTTATAGTTTTGATTCTCATTAGCACTAAAATAAAATCTACTGAGAACCTAATCTTGAATATTTAAAAAAAAAAACAGATGTTTACTATTTAACATTGTATATACTATAATGAAATTAATAATTAATTAAGCATAATCATTTACAATTTAACTGTTATTTGTCGGTTTTGTTTATGTTAAATATTTCTTTAAACTTTGAAAATAATAAGTAGTAGTTGTGCAAATAAATCATCAATGCTAACATTTAATTTGAATAGTTATTTTGGAGGTAAGCCAAAAAGCTAGTATACAATATCCATTAATGTGAATAATTTTTGAGAAACTTCTTTTTTTTAACGAAAAGGTTTCAAATATTATGCAATAGAAAGTTTAAACTTTCAGTATAAATTATGTATACTCCACATATCACTATGACATAAAAAATAGTTTTTAAACGTTAAAATTGATGAAAATTTGCAAAGATAAAAAGTAATGTGATATTTTACTCAATTATAAACTTGATTTTAGGCTTCGATAAGAAGCTGAGAAAGTATTAATTTTACTATGTTGTATTTTTTTTTGTGTCTATTACCACTTATTATAAACTCTCATTAGACCGATTTCGATAAACAATACGTCAAAAGATTAAAAATCGTATATAATCAAAGAAATTATCCTAACAAATTGAAAAAATGTCTGTTTCCTGTAGTTGAGGAAAAACCTCAAAAAAGTGCAATTATAAAAATCGGTAATTATCAACATTTTTTAAACTTTTTTAATTAAAGTTGTAGTAACTTTTTGAAAAATGAACCTATCATTTGTATATTTTTTTGAAAATTTAACTCTTATCTTCCCATAGGGGAAATTAAAAAATGGTAATTTTTTCATAAAAATATTAACTTTTTCAACTTAACTTTTAACAATATTCCGATAGTAAATAAAAACTTGTATATGTATATATAAATCCTTAATTAAAGCTTATGTAATATAATTTAATTAAAAAAAAAAATTGACCTCTGTAATTGTCTTCATGATATAAATGACTACCGTAATCAAAAATAAGCTATTTTTATGAAAAATTCATAATTTTATAATGCTATAACTTTTTAAAAAATATATGGATTAATACAATTTTTTTTAAAATTAATTTTTGTATATCTCTTTCATCTGATTCCTTTTTTTTAATCGAACCATTTCCATTTATACAGGGTTATTCAGTAAGTAAGGAAACAGATCAATTGTTATAAAAAATAAGAACAAGAAATTCGTTTCCTCACTCATTGAAAACCCTCATATAATATAATTATATAACATATACAATTATATATATAATAACTTCACTTTTAGTAAAAACGGACATTAAAGTTAAATAAAAGTATGTTTAAGTGTAAAAATTGCAAAATTTAATACATTTTTGTAAAAAAACTTATTTGTAAATGAAAGTAGTGTATTATATAAGGTAATGTAACTGCATTGGCCTAATAAGCAAAAAGTGATTAAGAGATCAATCCCTCCAATTTTATTTTCAAATATATTTATTTTGATTTTATAATATTTTTAAAATGTTATTAAAATAATTTTTTTTTAATATTGTACGTTTTCTGTATTCACGAGAAGAGATTGTAGTACCATAATCCTTCGCTAAAAAAAATCTAATTTGAATTCTTTGTGCACATTTTTTTCTCAATTTAAATTATTATTTTCAACTAGGCGATACAAGTAGAGACCACAGTAATGTGGTCGCATATATAGATAAGAGTTATATAAATTAAACTTATAATTAATATATAGTTAAACTTATTTAAAATGTTTGTTTTTATAAAGTCAAGAACTTTTAAAGTCAAGACATTTTGAACTAACTTAAATTAATATTAATTTCATGCTAAATTTATTTTATTGATGTATTATACTTTTAAATTAAAGAACTAGTAATCAGGGTATAGTCGAAAAACTAGGAGTTGATGTTGTTTTTGGAATAATCACCAATTTCTTAAAATTAATCACTATTATAGATAGCATTGAAGCGTATTTTATGATGGTAATTTTAATGACTGTCAGATATCATCTATACTTGTGTCATCTATATCACGTCCAAACTGTGCTACTTTTTTTTTTTTAAATGTCAGTATAAATTTTATGTAGAAAAAGCGTTCAATGCTCTCAAATTTCATCCTTTAAAAAAAAAACTCCTAATATTTCAACTGTGTATAATATTTTTTACTCATTCTTGTTAAATTATTTTTAATAAAATTAAATTTTGTTTATTTCAGTATTTTATTCTTAAAATTATTTTACAAACAAACAATTTTGTTACAAAATGATCTAAATTAGAAGTGCTCACACAAATACATAAATAAATATAGTTTTAAAAAACTAAAAAAACACGCTTTTAAAAAACATCGAACTAAAAATTATTTTTAAATTTTTAGTTCGATATTATTAGCTTTTCTTAGTATTGCCAGTTAGTGTATTTATAAACTCACAACAACGTGTCTTACTACCATTGATAATAAAGACTATATACCTGCTAATATCGTCATAAAAACCAATTAGCTACCTGTATTAGTAATCCCTTATGTATTATACATGTACAATAACACAAAAAAATTTGAATCTTTAAATGTTTATAGCTAATAATAAACAATAAAATGTTTCTATTTATATATAAATCATCAATATTATATACAGGGTGTTCAGTAAGTAAGGAAACGGGTTTCTATTGTTCTCATTGTTACAAACAATGAGAACAATAGAAACCCGTTTCCTAACTTACTGAACACTCTGTATATACATAATATTGATGATACGCACCCATGTACGGGTACGAAAACCAAAAACTATACAGGAATAGTGTTGCTGTCGTGTGGTGATCGTGGTGGGGTGAATGCGTTACGACAGTCTATTCTCAAGGCCATAGACGACGGGATACGCGAGAATAACACGTGGCGCGTGGACAGTTACAAACAAACATACAAACAAATAAACATACATTCAGGTGAAACATATAAGCGTATTAAAAACAAGCTCGATATGAGTTTAAAACTTTTAAATTTTATTTTTTTGAGTCTAATTTAAACTAATATTATACAATATATATTATACTTTTGGATAATGCAAGAAATAAAGTTTACTGATACAATTTTAAAAGGGGATACGAATTTTAATTCAAATCAAAGAGTTAGACCAGTCAAGGTTAGACAACAGTGCCTAAAAATAAACATGTCATTAAAATAATTACTCAAACACAAAAGCATTAGAAATTTCTAAATAGCATATTTTAAATTATTAGTGGCGTTATACATGTAATATACAGGAATCCATACACTAATAGGTCTACGGAAAAATAAAAAATTTTTTTTTTATCATTAGATTCTAATAAAAATTGTTAGTTATGAAAAACTATTTTTTCAAAAAAAAATATGTTTGTTTGCCTGATAGTAAGTAAAAATGTGTTCAGAATAATGAAGAATTTCAAACATTTAAGATCTAGTAGACAATTCATTAAATTTCGCCTTATATAATTTGTATTTTTACTTAATTTAATGGCTGTCTTCATTATAAAAAAAAAAAACATAAAAAATATGATCTTATAGTTAATTATAAAAAGAAAAGGATACAACTCAAAAAAAAAACTTGTACAACCTTAGGCAAATAATTCCTTTTCTTAATACAAATATATATCTTAACAATTGATATGCTTTGTTCCCACTAATAAAACACCGTATAACCAGAATAACTGCGGTAGTGTTTTTTGTTATCTTACTCAAAACAAAGCATTTTGTTGAGAAAAAAGTTTGACTTCTTAGATAAATTACGAAGTTTGACGGTTCGACACAGCAAATTTCGTTTGACCATGCAAATCTGTGTTACCTACCTCTCTTGTCTTTACTATAAATAAAATATGGGTTCCATAAATAAAAATATGTTCAATTAAATACATTTTTAGAAATTTAAGTTTACGCCTACTGTTTTATTATTAAAGCTTAATTACAACCACATTTTCAATACTTATAGGAAAACAATTAACATAAATTAATTTTCATATAGAAAATATATTTATAAATTAAATAAATGGATAAAATATATTTTTATAATTTTTAATAGTAATATCCACAAAAACAGTGTCTACTTGTATATGTATACTTTATTATAACAAGAAAAATAAATGATTTTTTCTCCAAAATATAAACTTCTTAAAAAATAAATTTCAATCCAAATTTTGACCATTAAGGTTCAAATGAACTCTGAGAAAAATTTTTTGAAGTGAAACTTCTTTACAGAGTATCTGAAAATAAAAGATTATCATGCATCATAGCCGTCACGAACGGATTTAATTGTTTTACTAGGTAAACGATCAAAATTTTGTTGTTCGATGAATATATAAACTCAAAAAACGTGTACGTTTGATAAATGTGTGCGTTCAAT